GAAAAGCCAGAAGAAGAAAAACCGGAAGAAGTAACCTTAAAACCTGTAAAACGACTTTCTAAGGAAGAAGACAAAAAGGAAGAAATTACTTTAAAACCAATAAAGAAAGAGAAGCCAGAAGAAGAAAAACCAGAAGTTAAATTAAAACCGGTCAGGCGAATAGAAAAACCAGAGGAAGAGAAACCTGAAGAAGTAATCTTGAAACCCGTCAAACGTTTTCCAAAGGAAGAAGAAACAAAGGAGAAGGTTACTTTGAAACCAATACAGAAAGAGAAACTAGAAGAAGAAACTCCAGAAGTCAAATTGAAACCTGTCAAGCGAATTGAAAAGCCAGGGGAAGAGAAACCTGAAGAAGTAATCTTGAAACCGGTTAAACGTCTTCCTAAGGAAGAAGAAACAAAGGAAGAGGTAACTCTGAAACCAATAAAGAAAGAAGAACCGGAAGAAGAGAAACCAGAAGTCAAACTGAAACCTATCAAGCGATTAGAAAAACCAGAGGAAGAGAAACCTGAAGATGTAATCTTGAAACCGGTTCCTAAGGTCGTGCCTGAAAAGGTCGAAGAACAACCTGAGGAAGAGAAACCCGAAACTTCCATATTCCCATGGCGCAGTGGTAAGAAATCAAAGAAGGTCGTCGATTTCCGAGAAGAGGTTACAGTTGTACCGATAGATCAGGAGAAAGTGATTTCGGAGCACGTAGAAAAAACAATAGTTGCGGAACAAAAAGTGGAGGCTGAAGTAACTCAAGTGGAAATTAAAGAGATGGTCAAAGAAAAGCCTGAGGAGAAGCCAGCACTTCCTTTGCGAAGACCAAAAGAAATTGTGGAAAAGAAGGTTGTGGTCGAAGAGGTAGTAGTACAACCTGAAGTAGTACGCGAGAAAGATAAAGTAGTCGAAGAGGTGACAGAAACATCTGAAGTGTCTTGGAGAAAGAAACGAAAACCGAAGAAACCAGAAGAAGAGAAGGAAGTAATTCAACTGAAACCAATCGAGAAACTTGAAGAAGTTGTAGAAAAAGTTGAAGAAAGAGTGACAGTTCGAAAGGTAGTACAGGAGGAGGAAAAGCCGGAAGAAGTGGTCCTTAAGCCTGTTAAGAGAGAAAAGCCTGAGGAGAAGGCTCGAAAAGAAGAAGTACCCGAACTGAAACCAGTCCAATTAGAAGAAAAACCAGAAAAGCCTGAAGAAGTCGAAAAAACCGTCCTCGAAATGCCAAGAAGAAAGCCTAAAAGGAAAGAGGAACTGGTACCTGTTCCAGTTCCAGTGGACGAAGAAGTCGTCGACGAGACGGTGATTTCCACTCAAGACATTCAAGTAACCAAACAAGTCGAGGTCAAGAAGCAGATTGAACAAGAAGAGGTTGTCGAAGACCGTAAGAGAAAACGCAGACAGCGTACTCAGGTCGACATATCCATCACTGACAAAGACAAGAAAATCGCTCCAAGGTTCATCCAGAAACTTCAACCAGTCATTGCAGAACTTGAAACCACTGCGAAATTCACTTGCACGGTATTTGGCAATCCATTCCCTGAAGTAACCTGGTACAGAAACGAACAGGAACTTCACGCCAGCGAGAAGTATATTATGACGATCTACGAAACGACAGCAACGTTGGAAATAACGAAAGTGAAGGAAGAGGACGCTGGCATGTATTCTTGCAGGGCGTCGAATCCTGCTGGAGTAGCTACATCCACCGTGAATCTCGTGATATTCGGTACTGAACACAAACTATGCGTTCGTGATGTCTGTGTGATTGTCTTTCGGGCATTTTTAAACTGAATTTTTATGAATTAAGGAAACGCTTGAAGTTTGTTTTGCTTTAATGTGCTTTTCTTTAGAGTTTATGTTTAGGTCCAAGTGGCTGGTTACAGAAGGTGTTCTGCTTGAGGGACTACTGAAATTATTAGTGATTCCTAATAATGTTTAGAGGGACATTACACAGTGGGTGTGAATCATGTACTTCTAAGTAGCATTGTAGAGTCAGAGAGAATAAGTAATGACCTGTATTAGTCAAAGATGTTCAATATAATGCAATACGTGTTAAATGAGTTAATTTTAATAGAGAGGGAATGTTCTGATGACTATGTTCTGATAACTACATAGTATTTATTTATGTAAGAGTATTGCATTCATTTTTAGAATGACCTTTGCTAATACATGTTAATTCTTTCCACTTTTCTCAAATTACAATACTATATAAAGAAACTATGTGATTGCGTTCGAAAATGATGACAGCTCAAATCAAGTTTCTATTTTTGTAACTGAATCACTAAAAATTTCAAAACAAGACACCCTGTATAAACTGCTCAGTAACACAAGTAGCACTATTTTAGAGTGTCTTAAGGGAGGGCAATAATTAACTACTGGTAATTTTTAAGATAATATTTTTAGAATGTGTAGTTTTGTGTAATTGTGAATGTTAATTTCGTGGTACAATATTTGATTAACATGAACGATTTTTTTAGCCATTTTAGAAACAAAATAATAGGTTCGACAAATTCACACCATTACATAAACAAAATTTCGATCAAAAAATTTCACTTTTGTGAAAGTTACTATCAAAAAGAAAAATGTGATCGAATATTCATTTATTTTTAAATAGTATAATTAGAGCTTTAGAAAAATTTCTTACTGAAAAGTGAATCTCAAATTATCTGAAAGACATATTTATTTGTTTTTACTTTTGTACTTTTAAAATAAGCACAGAAAATTACACCAAAGTACAAGTTCTCAAAATTTTACCTTCAGAACTACAAGTAGTTGATTTTCCCATGAATGTTACTACTATTATTGGATCAAATTTGAGATGAAGTTCCTTCGTTTAAAAGCGAAATTATAAATTTTGCGTGTAAGTTTTAAACGAAGAAACTCCTGTCTGCTGTCAAATATGACCTAATAATAATAGCAAAACTTTCAGGTAACTGCAACATCTTAATAAACAGGATCCAGGCTCTTGCTCTTGCAGTGTGCGATCCAGCAAAACATTTTCGCATGAAACTTCCTGATTGTTCATCTCGAAATCGCCTTTATCGCGAGTCTAACATTCCGTTTCTTTTCTCAGAAAAAGAAGAGGAGGGCGTAGCGCCCCATTTCCCGAAACCCATCAAACCATTGATGGTCGAGGAGCACAAGCCTGCTCTGCTGGAGTGCGTGGTCACGGGAACTCCCGTGCCTGAAGTGAAATGGTATCGCGGCGAGCAAGAACTGAAACCGAAGAAAGGTAGAGAGATCACCTTCAATCCCGAAACTGGAGAGGCGAAGCTGCACATACTGGAGCCAACACCTGAAGACGAGACCATTTATCGCGTCCGTGCTGTAAACAAATTCGGTCGTGCCGAGTGCAGGGCGAATCTCGTGATCAGTAACATAGTCAAAGTGAGCAAGCCAGAGATCCTGAGAGCGCCGAAGATCACCAGACCTCTGCCAGCTCTGGTAGCCGAGATGGGAAAGCCTCTGACACTGTCTGCTGACTTCGAGAGCAAACCAACACCCGAAGTGAAATGGTTCCGCAACGGAACCGAAGTCGTACCATCGGACAAACGTGTAATCAACATCTACGAATCCACAGCCGAGTTGTTCATCCCTGAGGTGACGAAGAAAGATGGCGGAAAGTATGAGGTCAGGGTTCAGAACCCAGCTGGCGAGGCTAGAAGCTCCGGTTCTGTTACTGTCAGAGAACGTTCTGATAAGACTGACGAGGTTAAAGCACCGAGATTCATCGAGCCCATACAACCACAGATAGTTGCTGAAGGAGAGGTCGTGATCATGGAGGCGCAGGTCGAGTCCTATCCGACTGCCTCCTTTCAGTGGTTCCACGAGACTCGACCTCTGGAGGTAATTAAGTTTGAGGTTCTTTGTTTATTAAAATATTGATACGATCCTCGATTATTGCTGGGAAATAGGAGTTGACAATTTCTGCAATGATCAGGGTTCATGCGACGATCAAAAGAACTACGTATTAGAGGGACCAGAAAGTAATGTCGCTTCTGTGAATGCAAATACTTGTTTATTATTTACCAGCTCACCGTGTACCAATCAATTTTTATTGATCATGTATTGAAAATTTGCACACTAAATGGCAGAAGGTTATTGATAACGAGGACAATTACATAATTGATTAAAAATAAAAACATATTATAAATTTATTTGTTTCAATTTAATGTAAAAGAAACGACATTACTTTCTGGCCCCCCTGATATAATTAGGCTCCCTTATACAATATACTTTTTCTAGCTGCAAATGACCATGATCATTTGTTAAAAATAAATACCGTAACTTCATTTATTACTGAATGAGCAGCCTTTTGTTTTCTAAGTCGTTGAAATGAACGTGGATCTCTATAATCAAAATTCTACCAAAGTTATGGTTACTGTAAAAGTTACTGTATACATCAATTGCACTTTTCTTGCAGTCGACACCACAAGTGAGGATCGTGACGCAAGAGAACCGTTCCATCCTGATGATAAAGGAAATCAAACCCGAATTCGCTGGCACCTACACCTGCCGCGCGGAGAACGTTGGCGGATCGGTCACCTGTACGGCAACCATAAATCTGTTGGAAACACAGTGGGAGGAGACCGTGGAGTTGGTTTCACCTACATTCGTGAAGAGATTATCCCCCGTCAGGGTCATGGACGGTGAAAGCGCGAATCTAACCTGCGTGGTACATGGAAAACCCACGCCTAGGGTGGAATGGTACCACGATAATAAACCGATCAAAGAGGGCAAAGAAATCACCATTTTACAGGACACTGAAGGTGTCTGTAGTTTAGCCATTACCGAGGTGTTCCCTGAGGACGCAGGTGACTACACTTGTCGTGCCGTGAA